CTTCTTGCCCTCCTCCTGGTTACTGGTGGCCTTCCAGGTTTTTAGTAAGGTTTTTAAATAACTTCAATTAATACCTTCTTCATGTTTGCTGGCCAAGACTAAACCTCTCTGCTGCACCTTTGTTACTTTGGAATCCTTGGTGGGAGAAAAAATTCTTGCTGGGTGGTGTTTCTACCAGCTGAGGCTTCTTCACTTGCCATTACACCTGAAAATAAATAACAATTGATTTGGCCCTACTTCCATCCCTCGTGCCTTTGGAGGTGGTACTTTGGCAGTGGTACTGGCTACAAAGCCACCTTCTTGCTCCCCGCCCAAGAAAAGCTTCTTGCTGTGTAGGCAATGGGGAAAACTCGAGCATCAGATCTATCTTGCCTTCCTCTTCCTCTGTGGTTACTGGTTACTACACCTCTCTGTTGCACACGTTGTATCTCTGGAGTCAGTACTGGCTACAAAACCATCTTTTTACTTTATATCTTCCTCTTGTAAAATTTGAAAAAACCCTCTTTTATTTTTAATTTAATACCTTCTTCTTGGTTGCTGGCCTCCTCTTCTGCCAACTTGCTCTCTGCCTTACACCTAAGCACCCCAGGGTGGTGCTCTGGCATAACTCCCTCCCTAGCAACTCCTTTGTGGTTACTGGACATGTCTCAGAAAATGCACTTCTGCACTGAAGGAAATCACTACATAAAATTCCCATAGACTACTGTAGCATGTGTGCCTTTACCAATTTTGCTACAAAGCCGTGTTCTCCTGGCCATTCTTCTTGGTTGCTGGCCAAGACCTCTTTGCCCCACTTGTCCTGTGCCTATTATGACACCTCTCCGTTCCACCCATGTATCTTTGGAATCCTTGTTAGGGGAAAGCTTCTTGATATGTGGAGAAAACCCTGCCTACTTCCTACCTTTGTCCTTGCTGAGGCTTGCTCGCTTGCTTTAGCCTCTGGTATCCGTGCTAGCCACAAGCCGTGTTGTAACTTTGTACTGACAATTCTTCTTCTAGGTTGCTGGACATGTCTCAGAAAATGCGCTTCTGCACTACAGGTAATCACTACATAAAATCTCCATACCTTTTTAAGTTTTCTTGGATGTATTCAAAATATTACTAACATCTTCCTTTTGCAAAATCTGAAAATATCTTTTAATTTTTTTTAAAGCTTTTGTTAAATACCTTCTTCTTGGTTGCTGGCCAAAGACCTCCCCAGAGTTTCACCCTCAGCACCTACCTCAGCAAGCAACCAAGCAGTAGGCCCTTCACCCCAACTTTCCCTGTTCCTTATAAGACACCTCTTGGTTGCACCCTTGTATCTTTGGAATCCTTGCTGGGAGAAAGCTTCTTGCTGGGTGGTGGGAACACTGCCTGCTTCCCAGCCTTCTCCTTGTGAGCCAGGACCACTGCAGTGGCAGAAGCTGAGTCTTCTTCACTGGATTTGGCACAAGCAACAGCACCTGCTGTTGCAAACCTTCTTGGTTACTGGCCATGTCTCACACACAGAAACACACACATGCACAAACATAAACACCATCAACCTAATAATAATGCTCATAATAGATTATTGTAGCATGTGTGCCTTAGCATGTGTTTCTTTAACAATCTTTTTTACTACAGTGAAGTTCTTCTTGCTGGGCAGTGAGTACACTGCCTGCTTTCCAGCCTTCTCCTTGGTAGCCAGTACCAGATTAAGTGACATTTTTATTTCATCAGAGTGTCACTATCATTACTTTATCTCTTCCTCCTGTAAAACCTATAACACCTTCTTCTTGGTGGAAATCAAAATACTACTTACATCTCCCTCTTGCAAAATATTTTAAAAACCTTCCATTTTAATGTTTTTTAATAGCTTTTGTTCAATACCGTCTTCTTGGTTGCTGGCCAAAGACCTCCCCTGAGTTTCACCCTTGGCGCCTCAGCAAGCAAACAAGCAGACATGTCCCAACATGACCTCTGCGTTGCAGGTAGTAGGATTTTTGCCCCACTTGCCTCTGTGCCTTATGGCACCTCTTGGTTGCACCCTTGTATCTTTGGAATCCTTACTGGGAGAAAGCTTCTTGCTGGGCAGTTTTCTGCCAGCTTTCCAATCTTCTCCTTGGGAGTCAGGACCACTGCAGTGGCAGAAGATGAGGCTTCTTCACTGGCTTTGGCATGAGTGTCAGCACTTCCCCTGTGCCACAAAGCCTTGTTGGTTGCTGGTGCTTGGAATTTATTTTCTCTGTTGGTGTTGGCCACAAAACCTTCTTTGGCTGCTGGTGGGTGGGAATTGATGAATGCCTAGGCTCCCTCCCTACATCTTGCCCATTGACCACTTTAGTAGAACAACCAGCCAGTACCATTGATATAGGATTTCAAGCTGGGCAGCTTTACTTTTTTGCTGTGGTTTGCACATACTCCCTCCCTAGTTCCTCCTTCTTGGTTACTGGCTGCTGGCTGGTGGCCCTTACACAAACACCAACCCACCTACCATCAATCTAATAATCAATCAGTCATTCAGTTAGAGCAGTCCATTTCTCTGAACTGCAGGAAATCTCTACATTTCCAAGGAGGCTGTGGCTTGAGTTTCTCCTCTGGATGGTGGAGGCCTTCGCTTGCTGAAGTGGTGGAAGCTGAGGTGCTATGGCTCAAAATTTGCACAAGTTCTGCAGGCCCACATAATAGTCTTCTCTCCCTCTTCTTGGTTACTGGCCATGTCCTGCATCAGTACTAGGCTTGTTCACAAGCAACACCTCTCTGTTCCTTAATATAAAAAATTATTCTTGATTCCTGGAAAAGGCCTCCCCTCTGTGATGCTCTGGCATACTCCCTCCCTAGCAACTACTTCATATTCGGTCCCTAGCAATTTCTTTGTGGTTACTGGCCATGTCTCAGAAAATGCAGCTCTACACTGCAGGAAATCGCTACATAAAATCCTCATTGACTACTATAGCATGCGTGCTTTTAAAAATAATTCTTGCTATAGTAGTCTATGAGGATTATATTAGATTAGGCCACTGATCTGAACCTGAGGGGGCCCTACCGTGCATGGGGGGGGGCCCACCTGAGAGGGCCTCCTTAGGCTGCCCCCCCCCCTCCCAATCCTCATACATTTTCAGTAAGCGGGAAGGGGGTGCAGGATGCCTCCCTCCCTCCACCCTTCAAACATCACCCACCCATCCACCTGGGGGTCCCCTCAACCCTGCCTGCCTGTTTCCCTTCCTCCCTAAGCTTTGTCCCCAGCAAAGATTCCAAAGGTACAATGCAACAGAGAGGGGGCCTCAACCATGCATGGGGGGCCCCCACCTGAGGGGGCCTCTTTTGGCAGGGCCCCACCCCCGACCCGATCCTGCTGGGTGGGATATTTTCAGTAACTGTGAAGGGTGGTGCAGGATGCCTCCCTCCCTCCACCCCTCTCTCACCACCCACCCACCCTTCTACCACCTACCAGGAGGTCCCCTCCACTCCTCCCTCCCTCCCTAAGCTCTGTGCCCAGCAAAGATTCCAAAGGTACAATGCAATGGAGAGTGCATAGCATGGCCCAACTCAGTCAGCCAGCTGAGTTGGGCCACTGATCTGGACCTGAGGGGGGCCCTCACCATGTGTAGGGGTGCCCTCACTTGAGGGGGCCTCCTTTGGCTGCACTCCCTGCCTGATCCTGCTGGGTGGGACATTTTCAGTAAATGGATGGGGGTGCACGATCTATGGAGAGGGGACCCTGATGGTGCATGGGGGGCCCCCATCTGAGGGTCCCTACTTTGGCTGCCCCCCCCAGCCAATCCTGCTGGGTGGGACATTTTCAGTAACTGGGAAGGGGGTGCAGGACACCTCCCTCCCTCGACCCCTCTCCCTCACCCACCCACCACCTGGGGGCCCCCTCAACCCTGCCTGCCTGCCTCCATGCCTTCCTCTCACCCTCCCACCATACAGCCCTCCATCCATACATATCTACTGAAGGGACATGGGAGCATAATTGTGAATTGGTGTTTTATGCTAAGCATGACTAGTGTAAATTGTATTGTAAATTGTATTGTATTGTGATATCTCAATGGAATTGATTGCAATTCAATTTATTGTGAAAAAAATAAAGATAAGGAAGAAAAAATATGATTTGTACTTGCTCCTGATTGATTTCATGGACCTTGGAGGCAGGGGGGCTGGGAGTTTGCAGGTGGGCCGGGAGAGGGGAGTGAGTGTGGTTTCTTCCTCAGTTGAACACAAACAGAGCCCATATTTCACTTCTCAATAATATGTCTGGGGATAGCCATCTGATGCTAAATGTCTGAATATATCAGCCACACACATGTAGCTATGCATCCAGAGACAGAGTACCTCTGGATGTGCAGATACCAAAAATGCACTGTATGTCATCAAAAGGCCAGGTGAGCATGAAAAAAGAGAATATGTCAAGGCCTAGGACAAGCAGGCCAGCTATTGCAATGCTTACAGAATGCTCTCTGCATCACGAGCAGCTATTGCATTGCACCTCCCAAAACAGTACAGCCTGCCTGCCTTGCAAAGAAACTGTTTTGCAAGCATTAAGCCCAACCCCCACACACCATATGCATTATAAAGCACTTTAAAGACTTAATAAAGACTTGCTGAAGGCTAAAGGTCTGTGTGGCTGCTAATGTCTTTTCCTTACAAGATATCTCTGACTGGACCACACCCTAGCTAGCACTGTGAAGTATGCAAGTGCTAGCAACTCTTCACCCTGCAAGTCTTTGCAAGTATTTCAAGTAATGTAATGCCACCCCCCCCCCCCCCACCCACACCCCCCAACCCACCCACCCACAGCAGCTCTTGGAGCCACTCTAATTAAAGCCCCCCCCCCCCCCACACACACACACACAGAGCATCCCTGCCCGGAGGCAGGTGCAGTCTCTGAAAAACCCCCCAGCTCTCCCAAAGAAAAAAATGACACACCCATTATAGTACAACAAAAAACTTTAATGAATTGCAATAATAACTAGATTCACATTTATATATATAAAAAAACAAAATAAATACAAAATGTAAGAAAATACAAATACAAATGTAAAACAAAAAAACAGGCAATTCACTTCTCTCTCTCCCACTCCTCACTGGCCTGTGGGCTTATCCCTGGTGAGTTCTGCCTGCAAATAGTTTTCTGTGAGGAGGAAGGAAAAGAGAAGAAGAGGAAGAGGAGGGGGGCTTGGCACACAGTTGGAAAAACCAACTTTGCCAACCCCCCATGTGCACATACTCACTCACACACACACTCACACAGGGTCAGTGGGACATATTACCTAAATATAACCTGGGAAGCTGCATAACCCGGATACTGCGTTTGGCAAGCAGCGTCTTGGACTTGCGGCTCTGGAATGGAATGTGAGGCAAGTTCAAGTTGCAGTATTGAAGGAAGCCATGTAACCACTACCTTCCTCCCTCCAAAGTTTCAAAATAGGCAAGAAAAGTTACCATTCTGTCATAGCCGTCAGGAGCCATGGCCACTGCCACTGCACTGGCAGATGATGGGGTACAAAGGGGTTGCAGCAGGTGGAGGGTACCAGGGGAGGCAAGGCTGGAGGACAGGTGGGTACACAGGTGGTGTGGGTTGAACATAGCCAATAGGGGTGGGGGGAACAATTAAGAGGGAGTTTAAAATTATATTTCTTTGATCCATTTTTTTTAGTAATAAAATTGAAAATTAATAAAAAGGACAAACAGATAAACAAACAGACATGTCCTGACATGACTGCGGAGCAGGGAGGGATGAAGGAGGGAGAGATGAGGAGTAAGGAGTGAACAGAGGGTAGGCTTGGGACTGCAGGTGGCAGCTCGGGTTCTTTCTGACCCCGCCTCTGGCAGGAAGCTGGGCAGGCTGGAGTTACAGGCTAGAGACCATGCAAAAATAGCTCAGTGGTACAGCTATTGCGCACTACATGGGAAACCTGTGTTCATTTCCTGGCCAGGACACCAGAGGGTTGAATTGCTTGCAAAAGGGAATCCTCACTGGGGAGTGGGTTCCCCTCACCTCTTCTACCCTGCCCTGCTGGGATGCCTATGCCTCAAATGTGTGGGATCTGCTTCTCATATTTTGGGAAACCCTGCTCCCCATAAGCAGCTACCCCTTCATAGCACACTAATACTTGCTAAATCCCTTCCATTGAAAAGTGGGTACCTCATCTGAGTACCACCCAGGTTACATTTACTACCTGGGTTACCCCTACCCTCCCAGACCAAGCCAAAAACCCAGTCCAACAAAAAGTAATTTTAATTAGCTTGAGTCTAGAACTGCCTGACCCATAACAACTTGATCTTTGTCACAGAGTACATGCAAACACAGGGAACAATTGTTTTTGGAAACCAAAAAAAAAAAAAAATGTATTTTTCATTAATCTGAGACTTGAACTGAAGCACCAGTAAAATTTTGCAAGATTAGCCTCTGGAGTGTTGTTGAAGTATTACAATAGAAATTCAATGGATTTCCATGGATTTACAAGTGAACCCAAAGTGCCACCTGGTGGTATAACAGGTGCAAAGGAGAGAAAATCACATTTTGGGGTATAAATCAGATACATGTTACAAATTTAAAACGATAAAAATAACTCTCATGGAAGAAATTCATTAGGTAAAACTAAAACAAGCAGGTGGTGGTTTAAAGTACCACGAAAAAACCCCTAAAATGATAAAATCAGCTGATAATGTGGATACACAGATGCAATTTAGCTAACTTAATGATGATTTTTGTCACATGGACACTGGAAAAGTGTAATGTGGAAACAAGAGAGGCATCACATGGACAAGCGCCCTTGGTTACATGCTGTGGTCCTTTTGGGATTAAGTAAGAGCCTCCTGTTGTGTTTGCAATAGGAAGCTAGAGAGCAGAGAAAGTCATCTCTCTGCTGGAAAGGCTGTGTGAATGAACAGGGTCCTTCGACTCTAAGGTCCTTGGGAATAGTTACAGTCTTTTGTAGATGGTTGCAAGAGCAGTTTTATTTGGTTTCTGTGGAGTTTGTAAGGTAAAAGTCACAGGTGCAGGTTATGGCAAGGCAGAGTGTTATCCAGACAGTGGAGCTTCAGAGAGATCAGTGACAGACACTTTGGGATCCTGTGTGCCTGGGGGGAATAGAGGCAGCAGAGGGCACAAAAAAAGAAAGGATATGTTACGGGACACCAGCTCAGGCAGTGGCAGAATTTGTGATTGAAAGTAAGGGGAAAACTTGGTTCTTTCCCTGCCCCCCCCCCCAATCTCTCTAGGAATAGTGATAATCCTAGAAGAGATTGCTATAGGAGTGTAACATCTTGTCTGGGAAATACCAAGGTACAGCTGTGTAAACAGAGATCAGTGCTTAGAGTTACTTGGGGGAGAGGAAGAGTGAGCTTATCAGAGACATGTTTGTTTTTTTCTCTAGGGATGCATGGTTGGGGGGTTCCTTTTGGAGGTAGGAAGAGCTTTCCCAAGGGGATTGTGTGTGGTGTGTAATCCATCTCACACAGTCTTTCAGGGGAGCTCTCTTGGTCCTAGAATGAAGCTTGCTGGATTGTGTGTGCTTTGTAAGAACAGACAAGCTGTGAGAGAAAGATCAAGATTTGCTAGATGTATTGGTTTGCAAAGTGCAAGGCGAGAAGGGCCACTGATGAGAATGGATTGTGAAGCCTGTAGACAAAAAAGGATATGGTTAAGATCTGGGAAAGGAAAGAAAAGCTGGAACTTAGGTAAGACCTAGAAGGAATTGTTGGGATTCTAAAGAGAGATCAGCTGGAAAAAGTATTGCCATCAGAGTGGAGAGTTTGGTCCTGGGTATGACCTGAAACTGCCACCCTCCTGGGTGTGGTTAATATGGTGGAACTAATCATAACTGAGTAGTCTCTGCAAAATGCCACATAATAGCCACCCTGGGGGTTGGACAGGGGTGAATATAGAGTGCCTTAAAACCCTAGCTCCCACTGCCTTGTGGATTACCCTTCACTGGGAAAAGGTGAGGGGGAGCATACCGTGACAGAAAAACCCTTGGTAAAGACCAAGGAAAATAGATGTCTGGCAGAAATACACCTTGGTGCCACACTGAGAGGAGAGCAGAGGAGAAAATGAGAATGGAATTTTAGAAATAATTGCTTTATAGCAGAAAGAAATATAGTAACCTTGAAAGAAAGTTGTAACTTGATCTCAGAGACAGTCTTGTCACGACCCAGTGATTTTGGTGCCTCGGCACTATGGAATTTCCTGGCCACATGAGAGCTCCTTTGCACGGCAGAGTGTTCTGCTGCAATTGAGAGCCCGCGTGTAGGAGAGCGTTCCCGCCAATTTGCAGTTTCCTTTGCAGGATGCATTTCTCCTTTGCAGCACAGAAATGCACGGTGCAAAGAGTTCCCGCTAGTCGAATGTAAATTTGTGCCCCGCTATTGGCCAGTGCTAAATTATTCACACGTGGCGGCTAGTAATTGGCTCGCTGGCCGTTTAAAATTCCG